GAGCACGTCGCTGTCGACGTCGGAGCCGATGGCCGCGACGCCGCCGAGGCCCATGACGAGCAGGATGGAGCAGCCGCAGCCCACGGCGCCCGCGACGACGGACTTGACGGCCGGCCGCGACGTCGCCTCCATGGACGCGTACATCTCGAAGACGACGTACTGCATCGACGTCGCGTAGACGAAGTTGCCCAGGAGCGTGACGGGGGCGTACCAGGAGTCGGGCCCCGCGGGGATGGCGTGGCCCTTGTCGATGCCCTTGCCCATGACCACGAGCGTCGTGAAGACGATGAACGAGAGCGACAGGAGGCTGATGGGCGTGAGCTCGCCGTATTCCCGGAAGAAGCAGGGCGGCGCGGCGACGAGGCCGACGACGACGAACATGAACCCCGCGTAGGTGTCGACGACGAGCTCCGCGCCGTCGTCGTGGCGCACGGATTTCAGGAGATCGCTGCCGAGCGTGCCGATGACGTTGTAGTACGTCAGCAGCGCCCCCAAACAGCTCAGCGCGATGCAGATGTCGACGCCCTTGCGCCAGGGCACGCCCAGCGTCTTCTCGATGACCTCGCTGAGCTCGCCCTTGGGGTGGCCCACGGCCTGGCCCACGCGGAGGAGCATGATGCTTGTGGCGTAGCAGACGACCGCGCTCAAACCCAGCAGCAGGATGCTGAGGATCCAGCCGCAGTTCGCGAAGACGTAGGGGAAGCTCAGCACGCCCGAGCCGATCATGGAATTCAGGACCTGGACCGTCGAGAAGGCCGCGTTGTTCAGCTCCTTGGGCCGGTCGTGGCGGCTCTCGTCGGTCCAGCGCGGCATGTTGCGCGCCAGGAGCGACCGCCCGAGGCCGTCGTCCTTCTCCGGCCGCATGGGGCTCGCCGTCGTATCCATGAGCGGCACCGACTCTGCCCCGCGGTTCCGCAGGTCCATGCAATGGCCCGCGCAGGACCACCGGCGGGCGTGTTTGGTATTGGTGACGGGGGCTGCCCAAGGGGTTGCCTCGGCATTCGAAAAGTAAAACAAGTAACTTGTAGTTCTTTTAGCGCGTCGGCGTCTGCGACCCACGCCGTGCCGCTCTCGCGCGCCTAGCCGGCTCATCCGCCGCGCCGCGATGGCGCACGCCCTGCACGAAGCTGCGGTGGCCGGAGATGTCGCGCGCATTCGCTCGCTCATCGCGGCTGGCCATGACGTAAACGAGCGAGATAACCACCACACTCCGTTGCATTACGCCGCTCAACATGGAAAACTCGCTGCTGTGGTCGCATTGATTGGCGCCGGCGCCGAAATAGATCCGCGCAACGTGTCTCGGTTGGACGCCCTTGCATTATGCCGCTCGATTTGGACGGTGGCGGGTCGTGCCCGTCTTGATCGCTGCTGGTGCGAC